AATAAATAAATCTATATATAATACTATGAAATACTTTAATTGTCTATGGGTGGTTGAAATCAGCACTATAAAATAATAATGGACTTAATACAAAACAAAAACATTATAATGAAACTAAAATTCAAAATAATTCTTACATTACCATTCTTCTTTGTTGTCATCCTTAAGTTGTAATTGATAATGTCTATGGTCATAGCACCCAACTGCGTTTGGGATATTTCATCTATCAGACAAGATCCCTATGCTGATGTAAAACTTGCCAACAACTAAGAAAAATTAGTTAAGGGTTGGGAGTTGAGTGCTAAATCCACAATGTCTCAATTCCTACTGCCTTTTACCATTTGCAGCCAGTTGTGGGAAGGTATTTTCCATTAATATTTGGATAAAACAATAAAGTAGAATTAATCCACCCTAAAATTATACAATGTAAAACTCCCAACCTCCGCCCTTTTATTTGATATTATAAAATATAAAAAGCAAAATATATTATTGTAGTAGAAATAAACCTCCCTATATTTCTAAAAAACTCCCAACCTCCATCTTTTTATCTTGACAAATTTGTTCAAGTATAAACCATGTTAGCTGAGACAAGCCCAGCTACCTGGGGTTGGTCTTTCTGACCAGATATACTCAAGAAAATCTAAATATAAGAGCATTAGTTAATTTATTTAAACCAAGGATAACCTTGAGTAACTAATGCTTACTAAATTCTTCACAAGGTAGCTTCCATGAATGAGAGTTTACTTTTTAATTTTTCATATTTCATATATATTATAAAAAAAATATACACATTGTTTTAAATACCAGTCCTTAGAACCATTTTTCATTTTACTTACAAATAATTTAACACTATTTGTAAAAGAATTACTATTAGACTATTAGTACAAATTGTTAAAAATATTTTTAATTGGGAGAATGCCTTTTAACAATATTGACAGAACAACATTGTCAAGGATGGGTAAACCAAGGATGGGAAAAATCAAACTCCCCTCTTTTGTCAAACATAGTCAACTGTACTCTGCTTTCTTCAAAATTAATATCTATATCTAAGTAATGTACATGAATATCATAATTATTGCTTCTTTCTATTGTAAGTTCCATTAGGTATATTATGTTTGGATAAAAATTTAAGTTATTGGTTGAGATTGAATCGTGTATGTAATGAAAGGTATAAAAAAATATAGGTTAGGGTTTTATACCTGTTTCAAAAATGAACAGTTACATGTAAATTAAGGTAGCAATGAGACTGTGAATGGTATGACATGATCTTTTATTCTCAATGTTTTCACTACAAGTCTTCTTCAGGAGGTTATGACACCATGGGGCCTTACAAGGGTATTTATACAAATTTTCCCGGATTAAGTTCCTGGTTGCTTTGCCTTGCCATACCTTGATTGGTCCACTATTGACCACCACCTGACCAATCAGTTTTCTGTTCTCATTTCATCATGCTTGCAGCTGCTTTCACCCACTTGAAGGTTTTGTCATCATCAGGTACAAGTAGCTGACACTGATACAGATATATATATATATACAGTATAGAACAAAGAGGTCACATGACCAGATACTGTTTCAAGACTTAGAAGAGATATCTTGTCACCCCAGGGTGTTGGTTTAGAGTAGGGTTATTTTGGTCAATTAAGATGGATTCCTTGATTTTTCGTTTGTTTATGTTTGGTTCTTTGTT